TTTTTCTAACGACTTAAAAGTTGCAACAGAAGTCTAAAAAGTGTCCTAAAACCACTTAAAATTAATCAAGTTAATAAAAAAAATATAGAAAGTAAGCATAATAATTAAGCATAATAATTAACTTTAAATAAAACTTTTCAAAGCTTTTTGCAAAATTCCTTTAACAAAGATATTTTTATTTAAAAAATTTTTTCAATAAAATTGTACTTTTTTATTAAAGCTGTCTGTCTTACTAAAGACCCCTTTTAAACAAGTAAAATTAGATAAAAAGCCATGGAATTAATGAAACTAAATTGCGTTTTTAATATGCAGTTATTTCAAGTACTTACCATCACATTCCTTTGATCAAAATAAAGTACTCCAAATCCTGAAGGTTGAAGATCATAATAGCGTGCATTTGAGGGAAAAGCATTTCATTTTTTAAAAATCATTTAGAACACTTACGTTCTATAATCGCTCGGGTTTGTTTTGTTAGTAAAACTGAAATGATTATATAGAGACGAAAAGGAATATTTTATCCCCTTTTCGTAGCAATTCATCTGCCGTATTCCCAGATTGTTCACTGAATGTATTAACATAATTATTTATAAATAAAAACAAAACATTGTGAAATTAAAACAAATATAATTAAATACCTTATTAATTCAAATATTATTTACGATTTGTTATTAACATATCGATGATTAGCAAATGATTAATGTATAAAAATACATTAGATAATGACATTAAATACTTGTTTGAAAATTTCTTAACTACAATATGTGTATGTTTTTTAACATATTGTAGTTAAAAAACTATAACTATAACACGAGTTTTTTTTCCCTCAAAAAATGTTCTTTTCTTGTACTCGAGTGTGAAAATAGAATTTTTTTTTTGAATTAGGAATGAAGATATCTTTTACGACTATCTTCGAGTAATGGAGACTTATGATTTTATTTGTTTGTTGTTATGACTTAGTGCCACATTTTGAGGTGCTCTTTGGATTGGACCTTTAGATTGCAAAGTATAGTTACAAAATATGCATACAAAAACTTTCAACAATTTACAGAATCTGTCAAGTACTACATGTAGGTTAAGATTTACTTTAAATAATGAAAGAAAGGAAAAAAACGTTTAAAAATTATTTATTGTTAATAATTATAAACGTTTGGATTGGACTTTTAGATTGCGAAGTATAGTTACAAAATATACATACAAAAACTTTCAACAATTTACAAAATCTGTCAAGTACTACATGAAGGTTAAGATTTACTTTAAATAATGAAAGAAAGGAAAACAAAACGTTTAAAAATTATTTCGTGAAACAAAAATTCACCACTATGATGGATGAGCTAACTTTGTGCCACATTTACTACATTAAAGTCTATTGAAACTTAATTTTTGCTCTCAGCATAACATATTTAAGAATATTTAAGCATTATTTAAGAATAATTTCCAATAAATTTTAATTTTTACACAAGCTGTAACCGATATTTTAATAAATTAGAATTGAAAGAACTTTTTTTATCAACTACTTATAAATATTTTAAACTGTAAATTAAATGTCATATAGAGAAATGGTCATGTTGTAAAGTCCTAATCAAGGTTTTTTAAGAATTCTATTTGTGTTTAAGACTTCAGCTTTAGTTTTGTGCAACTGATAAATGTATTTTGCACAAAACTTAAATGAAGTGTTATGCAATAAGTACAAAACATACTAATGTCGAGGGAAAGTAGTATATTGACATATTTGGTGATGATTAAAACTGCACCAATACTAGACAGTTTTGATACCGATACTATTTTATTTTATTCTATAACTGTCGTTGAACAGCCGACTGAATTTTATGGGTTTACAACTACTAATGTTCAACTCCGTTGCCTTGTAATTTTGAACCCAATCCAGAACACAAGGGAACTCCTGGATCGAGCATTGTGATAAATTTACCTTCGTGGAGGACTTTTCGATGGAGCTAACCCTCATTTGCGTTACATGGAGAGGAAGACCACGAGAGCCACCCACGGTTAGCCGGACGACAAGGGGACTCTAATCCATGATCCGTCTACCAATGAAAATATTTCACGTCAGCACTGTCGGTGAAAGCCGGATGCGGAATTTGTATCGATTGGGATTCGAACCGGGTTTTCGTGGTTTTACTCGCCATGTAACGCAAATGCGGGTTAGTGCCATCAGAAAAGTCCTAAACGAAATCAAGCTTTTCCCTTGTCCTTTGCACTGGGTTCAAAATTACAAGGCTACGGAGTTGAACATTAGTAGTTGCAAACCCAAAAATATTGAGTCCGCTGTTCAACACGGTTATAAAATAAAATATAACAACGTGGGCCGAGATAGTCCGGATAAGGCACTGGGCTTATGTCCAAAGAGTCGTGAGTTCGATCCCATTCAGTCGAAGACTCCTCGTGTAGTAAATGGTGACTGATGCAGATTAAATCTGTCGAGTCACAAAGCCCGCCATGTTCCCATAACAAATCATAACTCTGGGGGTACTTATCCAGGAGTCTCCTTGTCTTCTGGATCGGTTCAAAATTACAAGGATACGGAAATGAACATTCGCAGTCCTAAACCCAAAATACAATCGGCTCTTCAATGTCGGTTACAAATAAAATAAAATAGAACAACGTAAAGCCACCGGGAAGGACAATAATAATAATGAACAAAAACGAAATTATTTTAGATTTATTATTTGAAGATCTTAGTGGAAAACCTGGTAAATGACTTTTTCAGAGGAGCTATAACCAGGGTAAGAAGAAAAAAAGTGACCTCTGAATTTTTTTATAACCGATTCATTAGAAAGCGAGACTAATAGTTATTTGTCATATTTTATTTACCACTGTTAACTTGAAAATAAAAACCATGCAGCCATAATAAAAACTTGTATGTTAAGATTAGTTATTTTAAGAATCAGTCGAAGCCAAACAAATTTTGATACATTAAACATTCTGTAATCTACAACCACTTTATGTTATTTTCACTGATTCATAAATATCACTTACCTGGTTCTTTCACTGATTCATAAATTTCACTTACCTGGTTCTTTCACTAAGCACTTAAATCATGTCGTTACATGCCTTTCAGTTTTGTGCATGATTTCAAAGTGTTGTTGTTCATTTACGTCGCACTAGATCTGCACAACGGGCTATTGGCGACGGTCTGGGAAACATCCCTGAGGATGATCCGAAGACATGCCATCACAATTTTGATCCTCTGTGGAGGGGATGGCACCCCCGCTTCGGTACCCCGACGACCTGCACGTGAAGTCGAGCACTTTACGGTAGAACAGTTTAACGAGGACCAATACCGCACACCCTCGGTCCCTACGCAGGCTGATCCAAGTGGTCACCCACCCGCACACTGACCGCAGCCAGTGATGCTTGACATCGGTGATCTGCTGGGAACCGTGTCTTAACGATCAGTTCACTGCGGGACTTAAAATGTTGTGTAGTACTGAGTAAGTAATTTGATCTTTACTCTCCCGGTTCGAAGAACCGGTATTCAGCTAGTATTTTACATAAAACATCAAAAGAATAAATCAACAGCCAAGATCTTTGCAGTATACATATATATTTGTAATATTTCCAACAATGTACAGGAATTGCTGCTGAGATAAAAATGTATTTACAAATCTCTTGAAAGCTTTTTTCATCTTTTATAACTTACCGCTTATTACCCTTGCTTTCTTATAACGCTTGAAAGGATAGCTAATGATGGGAATAACTGTCTCTAAGAAGACAAATGCAGAAACCAATGAGATTCCAAGCCAAATTCTAACATAACCACCTACGTTGCTGAAAGCCTCTGCATTTTAAAATATATAATAGCCTGTATTTATCATTATTAATTGGGAAACATATCGAACTCAATTCACGATAAAAGATTTATGTGATATAAAGCTTGATTAGTATTATCTCATGAACCATAGTTTTCTGATTAATTATAAAAAAAATACATTAAGTTTACAATATGAAACATCATAAAACGGTACATAAATTAAATAGAAACACTATGTTGAAGTCGAGCAAACAAAAGGATTTTTCTTATGATGAAAAATTGCTAAGCACTGTTTTGCGTGTATAGTGAGGGGGGGAAGGAAAAAAGAAGCACTGATTACTCTACACAACACTTTTGTAATGATTGGATCTTCACTGTATGTCTCACCAAAACTTCTGCTTTCAAGATAAGGATAATTACTTTCAGGTGCTTCAGTGAGTATCCCATTGCCTTACCCCCCTAGAATGAGCTTGGCTTAATATTCTTTTGGCATGATATAGCTATTTTTTCTTGGCGCTTACCTGATAGAGAGGTTGCTATATAAGCCTAATATGAAGAAGACTATTTCCCCTCAGCAAGAGTGAGATCAAAGTCTTAGCTATGATGGGAAATTTTCTAAGAATGAAAGAAGCGGAAGAGTTTTACCTTGAATAGCCACCATTTCATGAATAGCTTAGCTTGTCTAGTGAATTGAGATGGATTTATGTAGGGTTTCTAAAATTTTAAATAAACTATAGAATTAAATAAAATTTCAATTAACAGAACATTTTTCTAAGCATTGGAAATATTTTACCTAAGCCGTTATTAACAATCACATTAAGGAAGCATTAGAAATCTTTAAGAATTTTTTTAATTGTAGCTCAGCTCTAATATTTCATTGAGTACAGTTATTGCATCAATTAAATTTAATGAAATCGATCATAATGTTATTATTATCATGATAAATAATTTCAAACTATATAATCAATGAGGTTTGAAAATGAAACACACATAAGAATTTAACATAATATGGTAATTGCACCGTAAAAACATAATAAGGAATTATAATTTTTTTTCAGGATTATATGTGATTATGATTGAAATTATTTTTATGTACTCATATTTAATCTGTGTTAAAGACTTGCGAAATAAACAACTAAATTAAATTCATGTGTCATGTTCAGTACAGAACTGAGGAATCATTCAATAGTCTTTAGTATTAACAAAATATTTTCACAGCAATTTTATTTATTATTATTATTTTATTACAGCAGATTTATTATTATTATTTTATTATAGCAATTTTATTTATAACAGACAACAACTTTAAAGTATACATACATCATTTTTATGTAGAAATTTACAATACTTCCAACAATGCTGGATGTACAGAAATTGTTGCTGAAAGAAAAAGTATTTACAAATCTCTTGAAAGCTTTTTTATCTTTCGTATTTTTTCATTTCGTACATTTGATTTCCTATAGCACTTGAAAGGATAGCTTACGATGAGGCTGATTGTCTCTAAGAAATCAAATACAGCAACCAATGAGATTCCAAGCCAAATTCCAACATAGCCACCTATGTTGCTGAAGGCCTCTACATTCTAAAATATATAATAGACAGTATTTATCATTATTAATTGAAAATGCAGTATTTATTATAAGAAATAGAGAAAAATATCTAACTCAATTCAGTTAAGAAATTTATGCCAAATAAAGTCTGATAAATATACGCTTACGTATCATATTTTCTTACTGATTGTAATGATTTACAAATTACAATTTACTGATATTTTTATTAAAAAAATCTGATTGACAAGAGCTTAATGAACGAAATGATTTAAAAATATACTCCTAAGATCCAAATTTATGATTTAAGTAACTCTTAACTTTTTTTTCTGCCAATGCAATTTTATGTTATAAATTATAAATTCAAGAGTTGACTTTATAAATAAGTACAATTATTTATTTAACTAAGCAATTCAATCAATCAGTGGAAAATATAATTAAGTCACAATGTCACATCGATGCATAAATTAAATGTTAAAAGAGAATAATACTTTCTCTTATTCATTGAAAAAATTGTAAGCACTTCCATAACATATTTTGGTGCTTACTCTTTATGAAATTACTAAGTTGAAAAATGTACAAGGAGTACGAGGAAATTAAAAATAAAAAAAATTATACTAGAAACTTATAAAAAATTTATATTTGGAATAAATAAAAAATTTGTGGCGAACGAAAAGATATAAAATTATGTTCTTTAAATCCAAATTTATAATTTAAATCTTAACTCCAATCACTTCCTTTTTTTCTGTATCTATACATTTTTATATTAAAAATTATGAATTCAATAGTTTATTTTATAAATAAGTACAATTATTTACTCAACTAAGAAATTCAATTGACCCGCAAAAATATAATTAAATTTGACATATTGACATATCAATGCATATATTAACTGGAAACACGAATATAAATTTTAAAACATAAGTTTATATGTATATGATATAGTTTATATATCTATATCTATATATATATCGAATTTCATCTCTGTAACTGCATTTCAGTGAGCGGTAGATCGGCCAACATGATCATTTTATACAATTTTTATTGGTTAATAATTCTCGAACATATAATCCAATCTTAATTTTTTTTCCTGCTGTACATTTAAACATTATTTATTAGTGCATTGCACGTGATATTTGAACATTTTTACGTACTTCCGTAATATCAAGTTTCTAAGTATTACAAATTTCCAGCAGAAATGCAAAATGTAAACAAAAAAAGTGAGAAAGAAAACTTAAAAAAAAAGCATTTAGAATTGCAATATTGTTCAAGCAAATTGTCTATTGAAAAAACCAAATTCAATTAAAATCAAAGACCCTTTCGGCATGTCAAATTTCAACTCTATAGTTGTATTCCTGCTGTCCGTAACGGAGTGGGTATAGTATTTTTTTCTATAAATTTGTTCTATAATTCTTGATCTAGTTATCAAATATTTTTTTCTTCTCTATGTACGCACTGTACATTTTTTTATTCATGTCCCCGTACATTTATTTTTTATTGGTAATTTTAAGTTGTAAGTCTAATAGATTTTGTGCAGCTACACGAAATGTAACGTGAAGTTAAACACCCAAAACAACTGCGGTGGCGCTTGCACTTTTTTAATATAGTGAGAAAAATTAGATAAATATAATTAGATGTTCTAAAATATTACAAAAAATAAAACTAAATTTCACCTGAAATTTAGGATTGTGTGCATATGTTATTGTTTCCATTCTATTCTTGGTTATAAGTATCCTAATATCATGCCTAAAACAAAAGTAATTTTAATATATAATATGTTTTATAATAAATTTTATGACCAAAATTAGTTTATTTCAGGAATTTTATTTAAAAAAAATATAGTGTAATTTAAACATTCCACAGGTTATAGAAATATCATCGACACATTTATTTATAGTTTGACTATATCTTATTTTACAACCATATATATTACAGACAACGAAGTATTTATTTGTAAAATTTATTAAAAAATTTATAATAAAATTTTTTATTTAAATAAAGCTAATTTATTGAAACTTTTATAATATAGATTTAAAACAAAATAATCTATCATTTATACAAATTTAAAAAAAAACATGACGCGTCAATATGTGTATTTTTTTCTTTTTTTGAAAGAGGGAAAAAAGTATTTAATCCAATATGAAATAATAATCGATATGTTTCAAGTGTTTTAAACATAGGCGTCCTTTTTCAAAACTTGCCAGACGTAAAAAAAAAAGAAAAAAAAAAAAAAAAAACGTTATTTGAAATAGAAAATGTAAAGTTGCCAACTAATGTTGGAATTAATGTCGTTTTCTTGTTTACGACATTACTTCAATCCTACCTTTTCAAATGTGCGTGGAAATACATTTTACCCTAATTTGCCACTCAGCCACAGTGGTTTTTCCTGTTCTGTTTTTTCTCTCTGCTGTGATCTTTCTAGTTTTGTTTCTCACCTTTATTTTCTCATTGTTAGTTGGCATTTTTAAGTTTTTTCTCTTCTTTACATTCAAATTTGGCAAGTCTTGAAAATAGGCACCTTCTTTCAAAGCGCTTGAACATGCCGAATGTTATTTCATATTTGTATATTTTTGAAGCGAATGTAATATAATATCCAAGCAGGTTAATATGTTACCGCATCAGTTTCCACGGATTATTTACTTAATACTTAAGCCAGTATTAAAGCTCGCTCTCTCCAGGGGAAAAAAATTATATCTATGCTTCACGCTAACCATTCGACAACGTACGAAACGATGGGAAAGAAAATCTTACTATTTTAAGCAAATTTTAACATCTGCCGATGCATTCATTCTATATTAGCGCAACAAAACGATGCAAATGTGAGATAAGACTTAACTTAAAAAAGTATTGAATTTTTAGTAGAAATATATTAATATAAACATTTTTTTTTAACTTTTTGAATATTTAAAGAGCAACCGACGTATTTTCATAAGTTGTATGCGCTTTAAATAGTACGCTGTTCTGCACTGTTAAAATATGATAACGAGCTAAGTCAATGCTGAAAAACAATCAGATTTACATTTTTTTCTTAAAATATTAAATTTTAAATAGTTTAATAGTTTTAAATAATTTCAATTTATTTAAAGTTTTTATACTGTGTTTTATGGTATATTTTCTAGCCTATTACGTGTCAGAACGCAAAACCCGACTTCCAATTTTTCAAGTTGTTCTAATATTAATCTCTTCTATGGCAGTTGAATATGCGGTCTAAAGTTGTTTTTTGAAGGAAATCTATCTAAAAAATTTGGTTTTATATATTTAAAATAGTGTTTTCAAGTTTGCAAGAATCCGTTCTGTTGGTTATATTTGTAAAAATTAAGTAATAATAATAATCTGTTCTGATTAGTCAGTTCTCCGGCCATGCCGAAGCCTTGTTCGAAATTGCCAAATTTTAAGCATGATTGCTCTTCTTCAGCTTTAGTGCGGTTGCCGAATACGGATTTAAGATTAGTCTAATCATGTGTTTATTCTAACCTCAATTAGCAAGGTTTTTAAATATGAATTCAAGATTAGTCTAAGCATGCATTTACTATAACCTCAATCAGAAAGGAATGCGGAATTAAGATGAGTCTAAGCATGTAGTCATTCTCACCTCAATTAGCAAGATTTGTGAGTACGGATTTAAGATTAGTCTAAGTATATGGTTCTTTTAAAATCAATTGTAAGGTTTCTGAGTAAGGATTTATATTTAGCCTAGGCATGCGTTTTAACTCAATTATCAAGGTTTCCGAGTGTGAACCAACAAAACAAATTGAGCAAATTTGTACGAAGATGTGCTTCAACGCTTTCCAAAATAAAATTTCTAACACAGTGCAGTTCTTGTAAATGCAAATAAAAAAATTGCAATATCATACAAAATTATTCTGTTGTTGCTACCTTTTAAAGCTGAGTAAATACCTGTTAAACTCTCAGAATTATAATTTTTTATAGTTCAGTAAAATACTTACGTATGAACTGCTGTACGTGGGCATCCATGCTAGAAAAATAGAAAAAATTCTTTTAAAAGTACACTCTTTAATTAAATTACACATTTTCAAAATACTAGAGTTCTCATACCCACCCCACATATATATATATATAAATATATATGTGTCATTCTCACGAANTATATAGATATATATATATATATATATTTGTGTGAGTGCGTCTGAACTTATTATTTTAAATAACGGCAGTACGAATAAATTAGCATATTTTTATTTTTAGAATGGGTTCTCAAAGCATTAAAATTTTTACGTAAAATCTATATATATATTTCTCTTACACGGTGACAAAATAAAGCCTCATTACAACTCCCCGAATGGCAAAGCTAGAAAATCGACTAATGATTGCCGCTAAAAATATCGCATGCCAAATCTAGCTGAGATGGCTCAACATATAGCGCTTTTAAAAACGAAACTGAAATAACCAGAGAGAGCATAAGCTAGGCAGAAGTGAGTAGTCTTTGTCGATAGATCTCAATTTTAGTATTTTGTCGAAAGCTCTTTTTTTCACGAGTTTATATATTACGAATTTATTTGACGATTTTTGATTTATATCACGAATTTATTTGTTTTATTTTATTTTATTATTTTATTCTTATTTGTTTAAGCAGGTTTTTCCATTGCAATACACTCATTTCAATTTTTAATAGACTTAATTATAGCCAAAATTTTAACCTTTTTAAAAAGATATCAGTTTTAGAAATTTTATCTTAAGATTTTATACTATAGCACATTTCTAATAGGTTTAACGAATTACATGTCATTTGTATGATTTCAAATTTATTTTAGTAACTTAGTATTTACTGAAAAGATGTAATTTTTTTTTAAAAAAAAATTGTTATATGGATTTGAATAATTGTTTTGAATTCTTAAAATTTTGTGCATTTGCAATGTACCTAAGTTAGTAGCGACCTTGGTTTGCGAAGCAAACCATATAAGATTGCGTAGCAATTTTCGGGGGGTTGGCGAGCGTCAGCGAGCAGGTGGCGCAGTCCACTAGTTTTTACTTTTACTTTTACGTAAAATTTTGATTATTAGATTAGAAGTAATTAAAGTGTTCTCTTTTTTGTGGTCTGTACAATATGAATTTCCAAACAGTTCCTAAATATTACAGCTCCTGAGTAGCTATTAAGTTAAATAAACATTTCTAGTTTTGTCTCATTTCTTACATCATATTTATTAGTTTATAACATACTCCTTTACGCATTTATTGGACATATATCAATTATTAACTAGCCACAAAGTAGCAGGTGATATATGATTCTTGTCCGTTGGAATCTGAAACTATTTCTGGTATTTTATACAACTCAGAAATATACGGATTCGTAAAACACTTATTATTCTATAAGACGACAAACATTATTTGCTAATGAAATAGAAGAAATATTTAGATTGTTAACTTTGAGGAATAATAAATAGTGTCCTCATCATTGAACAAGAGATGAAAAGTGACACTGAAATTCTTCTTTTGAATTCTGCATCATTAAGGATTCTGTCGGCGTTTACTGAGTGGTTATAAAAAGTGATAGACATATAATTTATTAAGTTTCATATCACTTTTGCACCTCTTCATATCACTCTATAAATATAAGAAAATTCTCGGGCCAAGTATGTTTAACAAATATTCACACAAATACAGATACAGTATAAGTAAACTTACGTAAAAGACATCTTTGTCAATAATTTCTCTCGTAACTTCAAAATGTTCTTCACTAATAACAAAAGATAAATAAATTTTTATTCAGATTAGCTCAAGTTATTCCATAACATATAAATTGTAGGGGCATATTAAATCCTTTTCCCGGACGTTAATACTACCAAAACTAATTGCAAAAGTATAGTATTATTTTATACGGGTCATGGTAGCCCAGTGCTTAGAGAATCGAACTCCGGTCCGGAGGGGCCGGAATTCGATCCTCCAGACCGCTAATATCTACCGAGTACATGAGATATACGTGCTTGTAAAATCTGTGGAATTGAAAGTCCTGTGGCTGGTCTCTGAGCAATACTGTGAATACATGGATCTGGCTAAAAATTCCTTTCACTTCAAATCTATGTCTGAAACTGAGGAAGTGGTCTCCCGAATGAATGGTGCTACAACCTATACCAGGAGTATAGGTGGTAGCACCATTATACCATCTATACAATCCCACCTATGCCACCAATAACTATACCTCCCATACCACCTATACAATCCAGTGGCGTTTCAAGACCCGCTCTACTGTTTTTCTAAAAGCGAGTGGGATTCTTAGAGTTTATAAAATATCTTAAATGAAATCAATTTAAAATATATTAAAATACACATATTATTATTGTTAAAATATGTATATTTACGCATGTATGTATTATAAACCCCTGTACCTCTCTAAGGTGATTTTATTTCCCTCGGCGTTATTAAGATTTTCCAAGATGACTATGAAGATTCGCGTAGGATGGTGTTGAATGAAATTTGCTGACCCTTCTCTTAAATTGCACTAATTTTGTACTGTCAAATCTTCGCAATATATCTCCCAGATCTTTAGTCTTTAAGTCAGCATTTAACCCTTTGAAAATTACTTATTATACTTGTGACATCGAGTCACACTCTAATCTAAAATTCCTGATCCAATTCAAGACTCGTCCCTTAAAGCATTCGTGCAATTGGGACACGCTCCTCGGAAAAACCTTTGAAAGTTCAGTTGTCATATTAATTATTTTTTCAGTGTCATTTCCACCTTCTGATGGAAAATGTAAGAGTTACGGTTATGCATACTCCCACACTCGTGGCCTTCACGTGTACATGAAAGATACCGCGGGCCAGGTGTTTTTCCAAGAAAACGAGGGTGAGAATGGAATTTATGGAATTTCCGGGGAGCGTGTCCCAATTGCACTAATACTTTAAGGGGCGAGTCTTGAATTGGATCAGGAATTTTAGATTAGAGCGTGACTCGATGTCACAATACTCGAAAGTTTCTGGGGGATATCTGCTCGGTAGCGGCTTCAACTGTAGCAATCTCCGCCCGTGTCGGAGTAGCCTCAATTATCGGTGAATTTTCTGGCTGGGAGGAAGGATTAGCAGGTTACGAATCGATAATGATGTAAATTGATTCAGTGCTGACCTTTAGGTTTCTTCCAAGCAGTAGATGATGTTTCAGTAGGCTCATGTTCAGAATCAAGATGAGGGTTATCCTCAGACATGCTATCAGGATTCTCGGAAATGGGAGAGTCATTGTGTCTAGAAAGTATCTCAGTATTAATACCCAGAATCCTCTCAATACCCACTTTTCTAAGAAATGAGTCTTCTTCCAATTCCTCAACATCTTTTAGTCTTGCTTCGTAGCACTTTTGTAAATCACCAATTGAGAAATTCTCGAACGTTGCGATTCCTCAGGTGAATAGGCTGCTCCCGATCCACATCTCTAATCGTCGAGGTGAACATGTGCTTGCCTCTGCGTCTGAAATGTCGAGTTTGGTCACCACTCAACCTTACTCGGTGAAGTCCAGATCAGAAACAAAGGAAGAAGTGTGCAGGTTGATTCAAGAAAATCCTTATCAAGGCTACTCCAAGCGAGTCGTATGCTAGAAAAACACCAACAGCCAAGAAATAATCCACCAAACAGAGCTTGTCTTGAAACGCCACAGGATTGGAAAATCGCGTCCTGCGCTAGAACGTATTGCGCTATCTTTTCAAAAGAAAGGAGCACCCTTCTGGCTCAATTCGCAAAAGTCCAATGGTTGGTGAGCTTGGCTTATCCTAGTGTCATTAGCAACACAACAAACATTTTTTAAAATTAACAATTTGCAGAAAAAATTATAAATTTTAATTTATAATATTTTTATCTATTGTAGGGTATTTTATAGTATATTCCTTCACAATTTTGTCAAGAAAATTAAAATTTGTAATTAAAAACTCAGAATAACGAGGAAAAGTGAATTATATTTTTTTATCTAAGCAATCGTTTTGAAAAGACATACAAACATAAAAAATTATAAAATACTGTTTTTAAGCGATACACTTATACCAAATGTAGTTTAATGCATCGGACTTCAAGCTTTGGGGAGGGGGGTTAATGTCGCTATAAGAAAAAAGAAGCCTTATTTTTCAGGTTCACTTCATTTTATAGTTTTACCATTTCATTTTATAGTTACTTCATTTTATAGTTTTTTACATTACCAGTTAATAGTTTTAATCAGTAACTAATGTGAATTAAACGACCTGAAAGCTCCATGGCCCAAGGTTTTAATAGACAAGAACAAACTATTCTTGCCCGCTTTCGAAGTGGTCACCTTAAATCAATGAAATTTTCGGAGGGATCCAAGAACTTTGAAATTTGTACCAACTGTTCTTCAGAACAAGCTTCGCCTCACCATATCCTCGCATGCCTGGGGCTCACCAAACAGGATTTAGCAGACGATCCAATGACGGTGTTGGATTTTTTGAGGGTGTATAACGTCATGGACCTAGTCTAGCACTGCTGGGCAATAGGGGCGAGTCACAAATTCAAACGTAAAATTTTTATGACACAAACAAGCTTTAAATAGGTAGCAAATATTATTATCTGACATTAGATAATATCTAAAAATATTACCATTCAGCAATACTGGGAAAAATATTAAAATCAATGTTACAAATAATAATTCATCAAAGACGGTATCAAAAAAGATTTGATTAGAGAACATCAAACACTTTACTTACTAACAGGCAGGATAACATTTCTCTTTTTGACATTCTGAAATTTCTTTTATTGGCTCTGCTACCTTTAATTCTGCAAAATTTGCGTTTGCTTTATTATTAGAAAGTTTATTTTATTTGTCTTGCAATTCTATTTACTTTTAGAGAAAAATAAAATAAATAATTCAGTTATGAAAAGCAAGCAAATAAAGTATTTTTTTCTAAATAAAAAACATTATCCTCCTTCCACCAATATAAAGAGTGTATACTGACAAACTTTTTTCGAATACATGTCAACAAAATTTTGTGTAAAAAAACGTGTGAAAATTTCTATAATTATTT